ATTAGGGACATGCTACATGAAGTATGATTATTATTATTTTCTTCTTCCTTTTTTTTTTCCCCTTAGGCCTTTATCACAGCCCTCAGACCCCTCATTAGACTTATCAGTAAAACTGTGTTTTTCATAGTGAGCACAGTATCACGCGGCTCATGAGCTCAATAGATTTATGCAGAACTTTGTAACTTTGTGGTACCTGCCTCTGTAACAAAGCCCAAAGGGAATTAAACAGAGATCTCTGTAGTGTATTCTGTTCCCCAGAATTAATTCCAAAGCCTATGACAAAGACCACTGATTCGTAATGTTTCTGGCTATACTTCATATGACCTCAGTGGATGTCTTCCTTGGATATGTTTATGTATACATGTGTACATGAGCAAATTTTTATGTGTCTGAATAGTGCCTATGTGTGGATGCAGAACAACCCTGTCTTTTCTTAAAACTGCCTTACAAAACTGATCAAAACTGAAAGTTGTAGCAAGTAAATGGCCACATTTCAAATTCATCTTAAATTAGTAATGCATCTTGTCTCTCACTTGAATGAGCCTATATTGAGTTACGAGCCTTGTAAATATGTGCCTTGACAGAGCAGAAGAATCCTGCATGTATTCTCTTGGGTTGTTTTCCACTCATAACATGTGTGGGTGTTGATAGGGTATGTTCTCAATATTTTAAACAAAAATACCTTAAGATAACCAAAAGAAATCTGGATAGTTTAAAGCAACTGTTAAAAACAGAAGTATTACTCTGTTCCCTCTCTTTTAAGGTGAAAAAAAATATATATTTTAAAAAAGAATTTACTGGAATAAAGCGTTTTCCTGCACTAATTGTGGAGTGCCATACAACTAGTTGTACAGCACTTTTTGCTGGAGAATTGGAAAATGTTTTAGGGAACACAAGGTCTCCATGACTCAAAGCTGTTACCTCCATTTCAGATTAAGGAGATGGAGAAGTGATTTCCTACAGACTGCAAAGCGAATCTGTCGCAGACTTTCTCTTAATATGTAGAAAAGATGCATGGAAGTTCTTAGTGCTGCCATGTTTAGTATCACATCACTGGATGGCCAATGTGCAAAATGAACAGGAAGGAAACTTAACTCTGTAGAGTATCACTGATATTTTTTTATCCAAAAAAAGCCCAACTTAAAATAATTCAACTTTGTTCATCTAATGGAGTTTAAACTCTTTTCTGAGAACTGTGCTGATATCACTTGTATGTTGCTTTTTTTTTTTTCCAAGTACACAATCAGAAGTGCACCCATGGGAATTTGATGATTACCATCCTACAGTCACTTTAAAACAAGCAAAACATGTCTGGGAATGAATCGGTTCTTTTCAACTCTTCCTGAGTATTTGTATGGAGTGATTCCCTTCCCTTGCATCACTTCCATCTCCGCAAAAGAGCTCCTAGGCTTTTGCAGGATTTTTTTATGAGGCTGGCCACCATAAAAGTGTACATCTCTCCTAGCAATAGCTGTGCCACTTTGGCATTAGGCTTCTGAGAATAAGCTACTGGAAAATTAAGTGGCTGCTGTCTTGAATACGATAATGTATGGGATAAGCACCTACAACTCTTGTAAGGGGAAATGTCTTGTTGCAACATATGGCTTGTGCAACCGTTGGGAGTGATGGCCAAGAGCAAAATCTTCCTGTTTGAGAGTGTAAAAAGCGTGTCAGCAGCGTGTTGGATAATGCCGGCTTGCTCCTTTCGAAATGTGCTCCTCACACGAGGAAGAAGCTTCATCTCTTTTAATATTGTTTGCAACCAAACACCAAAAGAGTACCTAAGTTAGGAGCCCAGAGATCCCACAGTCTATAGTTAGTAGAGGTCTGAATTGCTCTGTGGAGATGCCTCTCTCCATCAGTTACAGAGGTAGCCTAGGGCAAGCCAGCTCCTAAACGATGTGCTTCAATAAAGCGTCTGCAGTCAAATGTGACAAACTTGGTCTTTGGAGGTGCGTTCTGCAAGGGGGAGTGGACTGGGTACCGCACAACCGTGCTGCTGTGCAGCCCGTGCTTGGTGCAGTTTTCATCTTTTTTTTAATGTATCAAGTATTGTTAATTTATTTCTTGATAGCTAATGATTTTTTTTGTTTTCCCTCGCCTTCTGAAGAAATTAGTGGAAAAATTGTCAGATTTTTTGGAGCCATTTGCAAAACATAAGGAAACGCACATGATAGAGCTTAATCATGTTATAAGAGATTGGGACTCTAAAAGGCAAACTATTTTAGTTATATTGTGTTATTGTGCCATTAGTACCATTTGACTGCCAACTGTGCAGCAGTGGGGCTCCAATCAACAGGAGCCTTTGTGTGTTTTCCATTGCAAATAGTGCTGAGGACAGGAGGGAGAGAGGCTCTTAGTGGAACAATTTTTTCAGTGATTAAAAATACTTGAGATCCATTTCAGTGATCAGAAATGTGTCTTAATGAGACAATTAGTCAAACCATAAAAGCTGCACAGCACTTTAGTTGGCGTTACTACTGGAATAATTTGCTGCTGCTGTTTTCTTTCTCCTGATTTGACTTTATCACAATAGTCTGGATGAAAGTCACTGTAGAGAGGACTTGCAGTCTAGGTTCACTTCTCAAATGGCCATGATTATCTGTGGGGCAGATAATCCCCTTAAAAATGAGGGAGACTTTGGGGAAAAAAGTGGTTGTTTCACATATAAAAAAATTAAATGCCTTTGTCCAAGTGGCTACTACAGTGCCTTCAAATATCCAGCTGCCTGCTAGTGCCATGGCAACTAATTGCAGGTAGTGTTTGGGGGACGGGTACCAAACTGAAAGGGCTACTTCAAATTTGTATTTATTTTTCCCTTCTGTAACAAAAGCACAATAACGGGGCCTGAGATCCCTTTACACGTTCTAGCCGGCTGTGTTCAAAATGTCTGATGGAGCTAATTTTTTATCTTGCTGGAAGATAGCTCACTGTCATACTAAACATCTTTTCTCATCTGTCTCTGGTCTTTCACAGTTTGGTAATAATATTACTCTAAAGCAAAGACACAGCAGTTGTTCTCAACCAATACTTGTCTTGAAGTTTGCTGCTTCTCTCTCAGACCTAAAGCCTTGTGTTCCTCAAAGCCTGCTTGTATTTGTTCCAGCTAAACTTGTTGATCTATTAAGGCTTAATATCTCCCTACAAAACTGCTGGCATTCTAACTCGGAGGTAGGTCAGAAATGTCCTCAGAGTGATGCTACAGAGGGCACTGAACACAGCAAAACTAAAACTATTTTTTAAAGAAGAAAAACTAGTCACACCAATGAGTTCATCTGCCTGGAGTGTTTCCATCAACGTTCATGGCATTCCATGCTCAAGAGGTCTGGGGAGTTCAGTCTTCTATTTGGGGGAGTAAATTCTGCCCAGAACTAACATTATTTAAACTAACTTAGTCTAATTAATTTGCATTTACCTAAGAGGCCAATAAGCAATTTACTGCCAGAGCAGAAAGCCATTTGTTGGTGTCCCACTGACAAATGCAGTAGGGTGGGGTTTTTCAAAGGCCCTCTCTGTGCCGAGGGCAGCGCTGGAGCTGGGTTGTGGTGCAGGGCAGCCTGCTCAGTAGGTACAGGTCCGGGTCGCAGCGAGGTGTGAACTAACTCACCGCTGTCCAGGGCAGGTGCTGAAACCCCAGTCCGCTCTCTGTGTGAACGTCTGCTGCAGAAAGTGCCTTCGTTATTCACGCTGAGCGTAATTGTATTGATCTTCAAAATGTGGTTCAGTCTGAATGTTTTCACTTTCTAATCTTGTTATATCAGAGCTGTAGAAAGCAAAAACGTTTCAGTCTTCTAAAGGGACAATGTGGCTTCTGCCTGGCTCGACTTTAACTACAAATATTTTTTTTCTCACTAAAGAATATTGTTTTAATGCCTCTGCCATCTATAGGTCATTGGTAAGGGGACTGTGTTTGGGCATAGCAATAGTGGTATTTTGATAACACTTTTGCGTTGGATCAGTATCCCCGTAAACGTGGTTTGGTTGTTTGTAACTACAGCTATCTCCCTGCAGGTTACAGCTGATAGGAGATATCGAGTGATAGGATTTCTTTGGCTTTGGCTTTACGCTGGCAGCCCGTCTCTCCTGCAGCCGCACTCGAAACAGCAGCGCTGCTGCCTAGCGCTCCTGAGCCTCAACAGATGCTGGGTGTCTTCGTTCACAGCACTCCGTTAGGATGCAAAGACTAACCACTAACCACTGCTTTCTTTCATGGCTAATTATGGGCCACACTAAAAATTGCTTAGGGTACCAGCATTCTGACATATGGTTATTTGCAAACTGATGAATTTACCTGAGTCAGAAGTGTTTTTAAAATGAAGTTGAGGTTGAGAGTATATGTTGAGAAGTCAGAAGCAAAAAAGAAGCTTCATACTCTAGTTATTGGCGGGGGGGGGGGTGAGTGAATAGGGAGGAAAACGGCAGCATTACTTCATTACTTTTGAGATAGCTGGAATATCAGTCATGGTAACACCCAGTCAGCTTTAATCCTGTCCTTACGGCTGTGCCAGCTTCTTTCTCTCTGTACCTTTGGGCTCTGTCTAATGATGCAGAAATGTTCCGTGGGACATTTGTGCCCAAGAGAAGAGGGGAACTGGCACATCTGTATGAATATGTATGGGTTGATCATCAGCTATGAATGACTTTGAAATTATTATCTTTGACATGGGAAACTGTCTAAAAGTTGAAAGAATGAAAGATGTCCAGGAGTTTCATTCTTCTTTTAAATAAAATCAAATTATTAGAACTACATGCGAGTCACAGTTCTACATGAAATTGTAGTATTCAGGGTGGTAACATGACTGGTTCTGGAAAAGGCATATATTCTTATTTGGTTAACACATGAGTGTAACAAGTAAGATTATCTAGAGCTTCATTAAGAGACCTAGAAGTGTAAAGAACCAAGTGTATCCTGACATTTCTAATACCTTTTTAATGCAAGTAAATTGCCTGACAGAAAACCAAGGTAAAAGGGAATGTGTCCCTGTAAATCAGTAAGCATTTCACACTGCTTTTCTGGCTTCTTCACAAAGTGGATCCAACTTGCCATCACCTCCTAAAGGAGAAAAAGACAACTTAAAAGTATATGCAAATAAATGCATTCTTATTTTACATTTCTACTCCTTATCCTACCATCTATATTCCTTTGCATTCTCCTTCACAGTACTTGAACTCAGCTTGGCTCTACCCTGGTTAGCTGTATAATTTGAGATTGATTCAGCTTCGATGTGGAGTCGAAACAGAGAGCAGAAAGCGGGTGTTTCAGCAGACGGTAGCACGGCCTATTAGCCAGTACTTCACTGTCCTGCCTAGGTCTAGGATTGGGACAAAAAAAGAAAATATTTACTTTGTTGGAAGAAATTAACCACCGGAACCTCCCAGTTCCTGGCCTGTCTGCCTTCCTTGCAGGAAGGTGAAACGCACCAAGCTGTGGTGCTGGAAATGCCATTACCCTTGGTCAGTTTTCTGCTTTTGCTCTACAACTCCGTCCCCAGCGCTAGAGAGGCTGTTGAAAAGTGGGGAGGTGAGAAGCAGTGGCTTTCAGCCTTTCTCTGGAAGCCACTTGCACAGGAGGTGACAAAACTTGAGCCCTGAACTCCTTGTCTCACCTGCAGCAAAGAAATGATAAAAAAATTACTCTCTGTGAGGCACTGAAAAGGTATTATCTATGTTTTGCTAGGGGGGGAGGAGGGGAAGAAAAAAACCCCAGAGAAACTAAGGCCCAAGCAAAGAAGAATATTTGATGTTTTGAAAGCAAAAGGATGTCCTAATACCTGTGTGGACTGAAACCTAGCAGGTTTTCTTGTGATTGTGTGCCAGTGCATATGGGAAGGCCCCAAGTGGTGCTCTCCCAAGCATGGCCTTAACTCCCAAACCATCCTCTCTTCCTGACTGTGCCCTTTGAACTGCCTCAAATATAAAGGAGTGCAGAGCTTTAAAGTGTTAATGTTGACAAACCTGAACTGTTTATGCCTTAGGAAGCGCTCATTTCAAAACTAAGTGCTTTCAGTGAGAGACTGTGATGAATAAAACTCTGTACTTACCAAAACTCAGGTCATTGATGTTGCAGCAAAATACAGTCTCCCCGTTGACCGCCAGCTCTACAGCACTCCAGTCTGGTATCTCTTCCAGAATAAGTTATGAGGGCAAGGAGCAAAAAACAGTATTAATGTAGTTAAGTGCTGTACAAAACTCCCCACAAATCCTATCAGCTTTAATCTCTGCCTTCACTGTTATTACATTAATGGATCTCCTTTGAATGAAGCCTCCACCCTCTGTCATTTCTAGTTCTAGCAGTAAAAGGCAAGAAATTAATTATGTACTTGTATTTGCTACTAACTGGCACAGCAGCTGTAAGAAACGCAATGCATTTATTTGTAAGTACCATGAAATAAGACTAAATTCAAAAGAAATCTCCAATAAACATTAAGATGGTGCTATAGAACAGCTGGAACAGTAAGTGAACAACCTTGATAACCCAATTGTTCATTGACGCATAATTCATTTTGCTTCTGCTGAAAGAGTAATTCCTCAGGACGTTAGACTTGAGATTTTGTGAAGCTGAGAATCAAGCCAGAAGGGACAAAATCCTCTCTCGACCCACATATGTGTTTAGATGAATTAGGTGCTTTTGGGGTTTATTATGGTACGTTGTATAGTGTTGTTGCAAGTTAATCAGAACTGGGGAAATAAGAGAACTGGCTGATAATGCAATTCCAGCAACAGGAAAATGACACGTGCTTCTGTCTGGGCCCCCATAGATTTAATTTTTTTTTTAATTCCTCTTATTCTGTTGACTTATTTTACAAGGCAGAAGCAGATTCCTGCATAGTCAAACATCCAGGGTCTCACCTTTCCAGGTTTTTATCAGCTATGTGTTAAGGCTGAGCCAGCATACTGACCAATACACACCAGTTATTTTGGCAGGTAGAGGTGCCTCCCTCTATCCCGGTTCCACTGTAGCTGTGTGATTTGCAAGGTTGGTGTTTCTCAAACATTTAACCTGACTGCATCCACCTGTGACAGCTGTTTGCAGCATTTTAATTCAACTTGTTGAAAAACTACAGAAAATGGCTGACGAAGGAATCAGGTTCATAAAGCAGCAGGCTTTCAGCTTCTTGCTGCTGTTTCGTCATTCTAATCAGACAGCTCTCGCTGCTTTCTAGGAAACTTTGATGGCAATCTCTGGCAATTAATTCAAATTTATAGAATGAATGAGAGAGATGACCTCTATGCTGTTGGCTCTCAATAAAAAAGCCCCACAAAACAAAAACCCCTATTTTCCCTAGTTTGAGGCCTGGTCTCTCTTGGTCCATGTCGGTAATGTTGCAAGGATCTAGCAAGCCCAGTAAGAGAAGTTGAATGAGTTGCCAGTAGCCTGTATTTTGCAGTAACTCATGCTCTTGGCAAGTTCCCAGCGTCAACCAAATACTGATTTGTCCGATATTAAGCTTATCTTTCTTTTTTTGTTGCATCTATGTGACCCAAAGCCTTTATAATCACAAAACTTTACTTATTGAATATGCTAGATAAGACATACAATTTCTCTTGCAACTTTAGATGGATTTTGCTAGGCAGAAATTTTTATTATGTATCTCTTATAGATGTAAAGCAATAGCATGGAGGAAAAATTGTTGCTCGTTCCCTAATAAACAGAATTCATGACGAATCAGAAAAAACCAGCTACGCCTTATTCTGTGGGCGACGTGTTGCTGCAACTTCAGGTACGGATGGCAAACTTCCGCAGTCCCAGCGAGCTGGGGGACAGCCTGAGGCACGGCTGCGCTGTCCCATCCGCAGGAGGCCAGGGCCCGGCTCCCAGCGGCACCCCCGGGCAGCTCCTGCTGGCGGCTC